ACCTACTTTTGAATGGAAACCTGTATCGGTCCAAGACATTATTAATGCTGTTTTGGGCTTTAAACTCTCTAACAGTAAAGGTGTGTATGGCATGACACCTAATCTTTTGAAACACATTGTGTGGGCACTGGCACCTATACTAGCCCATTTGGTCAATGTATGCTTTTTAGTAGGTATTTTTCCTGCTCAATTAAAAGTCTCTAGAACTGTGCCTGTCTATAAAAAAGTCCTGTGACAATGTTGCAAGTTATCGACCAATATCGTTGATTCCTGTATTTTCCAAACTGTTTGAAGCTATTATGTTTGCTCAATTGTACAACCACCTTGAAGCACACAGCCTTCTAGTGCCTGGTCAATTTGGCTTTAGGAAAGCCAAATCCACCATATTGGCTGTTGATTCTATTGTACAATTAAGTTAATTGTTGATGCTTTTGAGTCTAAGAAATCTACTTCCGTAATACTTTGTAACCTCTCTTGCGCTTTTTATTGCGTGTCACATGAAATTTTGCTCCTGAAATTGGGGAAATATGGCCTAGAAGGCAGTGCTCTTAGATTGGTCAAATCCTACCTGACTTACCGCCAACAGGTTGTAAGTTGGAATGGTATTACATCCAAACCATTAGCTGTAAGACACGGGGTTCCGCAAGGTTCCATTATGGGACCTCTGTTGTTCTTAGTGACAATCAATGACCTCTCAGACTTAAAGGTAATTGCATGTTGTATGCAGATGATACTTTCCTTGTATCATGTAAAGCGACCCGTGAACAAGCAGAGCTGTCTGTTACGAAGATTTTTGAGTCAGCCTCTAATTGGTTTGTTGACAGTAAAATTAGTGCTCAATAATGAGAAAACACAGTGTAAACATATTTGTATTTTAATCAAATTCTTAGATTTCATTCGTAGTCATATTTCGTAAAATTCGTATTAGGCCTATTTCAAACCTTTAAATAAATCCAAAGTAAATTAAATATTAAATTTTCTAATACAAAGGGACATGTAGAATGGCTCCGACGAGTCTACAAGAGGTATCATATTAGAGGTCCCGGGCAATGAACACACAACGTGACTTCTACAGAAACTGCTGATCGAAGTGGCAGCCAATCATAGCATTGAGTGCCAAAGGTATCAGCTATGATTGGACACTGTAGGCGGGGTTAATTTGAATTATGGGACATCTGGAAGAAGGAAGGGACAGGAGGAGCAAGATGGCATCAGTGTGGAAGAAGATTTGGGAGGCTTAGGACGGGGCCGGATCGAGCAGGTCCCATTTATATCTATATAGGATTGGTAAAATCTGCCACCTAAGAATACGTCCTAGTCCGAACTACTTCACCTACTCAACCCAAACCGAGAGAAGAGATTCCACGGGGTCGTCATCCGCCATCGAGGTCCAGGAGCAACCACCAAGTCATCCGACAACGGAGACAAGGGGAGGCCTGGACATCCACGAGACGTCATCTCGGGGAATCATCTAACCTCAAGATCTTCTCCTCGGTATGTCAAAAATTCCAATTATAATTCCAGGAACAAAATTTTTAGGAGAAAGAAGATCAATTTAAATTTGAAAATACCCCCACCGCAGCAAACCTGCAGACTAAGCGAACTTCAACTTGTCTGATTACACTTTTACTCAAATATTTCCATAATTCACAATTTAAATAACATTAGATGTAACGAGTGCTTAGGTTTGCTGCTACGGGGAAGGTAAAAAGTGTTTTTTGACCATACGTCAATAGTATAGAATGAAATAAATAAATTTGCCAAATTTTATCAACATATATCCATAAACAAGTAAACTACAACAGTTTACATTTTCTTTATAAGAATAACATGAGAATTTTAAATTGCACTATTTTTTAATTTTCTCCGTGACCGTTAGGCATATAAGAGCGCCTCAATATACTAAATTATTTTTTTTTTTAAGCTCTACAAAATGGTTTAAAAAGTTTAGATCGAACAACCATATTAAAGTTTGGATCTTTCTGAAGAGATCGGTTTTCATTTTAATGTTCTAGGATCAGTAGAACCAAAGATATTTAATTCAACGCAGAGCTATAAAATCGCTGAAAACGGGCATTCGAGTAACAAAAAAATGGCCCTTATACAGTGGAAAAATAAAATAATTGTATTTTTGTACTTCTAATAATAGGCTTATATACTTTCAAAGATAAAAATATCAAAACATTTACAAATCTTGAAGCAACCACCTTTGAACCACTTGAAATGGATTGACCCAAAAGCACACTAGTGAGCCACTGACATAGGTACCAAATAAATACTGTAAATAGTGGGTTTGGGACTAAAATGTCAGGAGAAGTAAAGTAGGCCTAGCCTAGAAATTCAATACAGAACAATGTAACTTGCAGCCCAATAATTGGGTGTAGGCCTACTACTCTATTCGTTTTATTTCATAATAAAACTCGGCAGAGAACATGTTTCCAGTCGGACGTCAATTTGTCATGACACACACACTGCTTTCGGCCCTGAAGATGTGATCTCATCCATTTTATGAATTGTCAGCGAAAGCTTTACTGAAGTCAAATAATGTCAAAATGGTACATTGCCTACGATCCATAGCAAATCGTACAAAATATCATCAGTGATATGAAGCATTGCTGTTTCAGTGCTAAAATATTTACGGAAACCTGACTGAAATATGTTAAGAATATTGTTTTGTGACAGAAAGTCAGACACTTGGGAGTGAACAACTCTTTCTAGGGCTTTGTTAATTCTGAGCAATTACTTGGTCAACCCCAAACTTTTTCATATTTTACTACGGTCATAAGGATGTTCTCAGAAAACAAGAAATATATCATCCAAGCCCCGCAAGGCCATCTTACAGGTTGCCAAGCGATAAGAAGGTTCAAAGTCTACGCGATAACAGTGACTTGCGGGAGACTTGCGGAAGGCCAGTTGTGACAGTACCGTTATGTTATGTTATGTTGGGTTAGGTTAGGTTAATTCATATTATTAACCTATCATATAATATAATTCATACTTATACCTCCAGGATCATTATGAATTAACCTACCCTAACCTAACCTTGTGGGGCTTGAATTATATGTTTCTTGTTTTCTGAGAACATCCTTATGACCGTAGTAAAATATGAAAAAGTTTGGGGTTGACCAAGTAACTTAATTGCTCAGAATTGCCTGAACAACTCTTTCTAGGGCTTTAGAGAGAGCAGGAAGAATGCTTATTGGTCTGTAGTCTTGCAGAAGCGATGGGGATGAGATCTTATTCAAGGGACGGACAAGTGCAGACTTCCAATTTTCTGGGAAAATGCCTAAATCTCAGTGAGGTGTTGAATATGAAAGTTATTGTTGGGAGGAGAGCAAACAAGATACATTTAATTAAGGAAATTGGAATTCTGTCAGAACCAGTGGCATCAGACGTTATCCGTCTTATAGCCTTCAAAACATCAACCTGCAATAAGTTACTGGCTTAAAGTTAAATTGAGGAATAGTATTAGGCAATCGACATAATTTTAACTCAGTTAAATGGTTCTGACCTATTTTAATGTTTTCATGTGATGAAACTGATAAGAAATAATTGTTCTATTAGGCTATCAAATGAAACTGTTATAACCTAACCTAACAACAAAACTTGCTGATAATGAAAAAATCACATAAAGGTTTATTAATTGAATCGATAGTTAGTAAGTAGTATGGCCCAGTTAAGAAACCGTTCCCATTTTCCAACCAAGAGAACTTAAACCTACAACATATAAAAAACCAACAACAAAACATCCTCAACAAAGCACCAAGAACAAGGAGCAACAGCCGATGACGTGAGGATAAGAGAAACGGTTAACATTAACTTAAACTTAGGAAACTAGTCTTTTTTAGGAAAGTCACAAAGCAAAATAGAAAATTAATTAAAGATTTCCATTATAAACTTAAGATGTTCAACATCAAAACAAGAATAACCTCCTCATAACTATGTTGCATCAAAAGTCAAAATACAGACGTCAGCGTCAGACGTCACCTCGATAGGGAAGTGAATCGAATCGAAGGGAGAAGGGACCCGATGTCCGATATAGGGCCATCACAATGATAAGAGACAGACCGAATCCACCCTAAAGAGTAGGCCTACCTTATTTACACTGAAACCAAAGATTTCATTACGGAATTACGGTCCCCATTCACTTCTATCCCTTGCCTCTTTATAGGTTGATCGCAGTCTGGAGTAATAATAATCTATCTATATATTAATAGGCAAGCATGTTTCTTTAACCTTTTTTCTCGGCTGGGGTTTATGGGCTTTATGGGTTGCTATGCTGGTGACAAAATAACAACGAAATATAAACAGAAAATCAAAACAAATGTAAGAAATTCCAAACACATGTTTTATTTACAGTGTGGGGTGAAAATGGAGAAGTCTGTACAGTGCAATTAATTTGATTTTTACTAGAAGCAGTTAAGCTGTGGGGGAATATCTTTGAAGATGAACCTTTTTAGTGTGATCATCAGTTCATACGTGTCAAATTTTGAGGTTAAATCAAAACAAACAAACTGTCATAATATATTCTTTTAATTGACAATAGTTAAATATACCTACTTACACTACTTTAAAAAAAACTCACTTGGTCATTAGAGAATATTTGTGGAATATTTAGTGAAATAGACACGTGATTTCTGATTCCAAATCGACTAATGAATAAATTATTATAAAATTATTGTCTTCAAATTAATTTAATTAAATTGGAGATGAGGTTGAATCTATGTCTGAAAGGAGAATAACATTAAGAAATAGGTATAATGCAATAGTTCCAAAACCAAATTTAACAGCTTTCAAGAAATTTTATTTATACCTTGCACCTAAAATGTTTAATGCTCTACCATCCAATCTCAAAACCATCTCAGAAGCAGATTTTTCTAGGCAGCTGTGGCCTTATTTATTATGTTTGGAAAATGCTGAAATGTACTTTTATGGAATTTAGTATATATACAGTAGTATAGAAGTGACTAATATAGATAATAAGTAATATAAATACTTACTCTGTTGTATCATTTTTGTTTGCAAGTGTATTGACTTTTACTCTGTACTGAAGAAAGAAGATCACTGTGTAGAACTCACTCTCACTGTATATATTATAACCAAGTGATATAAGTGACCGGACAAAACCGCCTCTTCGATTTTTAGAACATAAGATAGTGTATAAATCCACCAACATAGGTTTTTAACCTAAGGTGGTTATTGTTTTTTTCTTTTTTCATGTGTAAATGTATTTTGTGTTGTGTATGGAAAAAACAATAAAGATTTCTAAAAAAAAAAAAAAATTAAGTGATGATTTCTTTGAAAATAATTAATTTAACATGAGCAAACGGGTGGCGTCGTCCTGAAATCCAGCTACTAGGTCACGAATTGTGGATATTTATAGGGATGCACTGTGGATGTGATGCTCCCTGGTGTGGATGAACGTCCGCACTAGTGAGTACTACGACTATCCGCAGTACTATCCTGATAATTAGACCAATTCGTAAATTACAAGGAAAAAATGTGGTTCGGATTCCACTATAAACTGTAGGTCCCTCAGTTGCCATTAGCTGTATGGGCTAAATTAACAGCTGTGTCTAAGGAACATGTCGGCCTTAGTCACTAACAAGACTACAAGATCGCGCCACTCATCCTACACTCATCCTTCACTCATATTTGGGTTAAAATACGCACATAGTGGCGTCCCCATCTTAAATAATTGATAATTGAATTAATTGATACTTTAAATATTGAATCTTCTTGCAAAATTAATGTAGCCTAGATCATTATACCTATTAACCCTTTGAGTGCCAACGTCCAACGAGCCAAAAGTGCCGACGTCCGGCCGACCGGACGTTTTTAGAACGAGCCAAAAGTGCCAACGTCCGGCTGACCGGACGTTTCGTAATGATCGAACAGTTGTCATAACAACCGAATGGATACTCGGATTCTTTTAACCTATATATTAACATTGAGTCGAAAGTTACTAGATGCGATACATCGATTTTCGTTGGTCGAAATATCGAAAATTCGATTTTTACGAAATTTTAACCTAAAAATCGCCAGATCGCGCTAGGCATTTTTAGCGCGACCTTCGGGGAAAATCACTGGCATTTTTTGAGCGTTACTTTTATTTCTCGCCTGGCACTCTAAGGGTTAGTAGAATAATGTATTTGCTGTGACTGGGATACACATGATAAACTGTAGGGACATAATGATCATTTACGTTTTGTTTGGAAATATCTCAAGACCCAGACCTACCTTTTAAGGGTTTTAAGTTAGAGGTCACAATTATATACTCTCGAAATGACGAGATAAACCTTTATAGACTAAAGTTTTGAGTTTTGACCCATTTAAATGATAATTACAGTAGAACCACTTTAATCCGAACCCCTGTAATCCGAACGTCCACTAATCCGAACGCCTCATTGCTGTAAGATACTCTATACACAGTACAGTAGTTCTTCATTGTATACTGTATTTATTGATATACGCACTATAGTTATTTGTAAATTGTAATGTATAGTACTGTTTATTCCCTATATTTACTACTGTATTAAATAAACACTGTATTTTACTTTATAAAGCATTTTTCACTTTTCCCTAGCGGTAATTATTCCGTATAGGTGCCTCCAAACGAATTTTTAATTTTGATATCTAACTTTATAGTTTTTTACCTCCTGAATCCAAATATACCATTATTTTTCACAGCTGATGAATATTTCTCAAGATATCGCCGTAATAATATACAACAAGATGAAAATCACCTGATTAAGTTACTTTTCACTTTCTAAGACCAATAAGATAATAATGTATTATTGTTACCAGTACTTTATCCTTATTGATGATTTATTGATTTATATTTAGCCGTTTAGAAATTACATATTAAAATGGTGCTATTCTAACATAACCTAATCTAACCAAACCTCTAGAATGTGAAAGCAAACTCCTTTTGATGTCAGAAAAGGCATGTCAGGGTGATAGGTCGTGCTTTATGTGAATTGGTGACTGCATTAAGTCCGAAGGTAGGTTAGATTAGGAAGGTAAAGTTTAGGTTATAATGTAGCCGTCAACCGGGGCTAATATGAACACACCAAAATATTGGGGCTAATATGAACAATGACTTAAAAAGTCATTTATCTGGGATTTTAAATCATGAAAAAAATATAATTAGAAAGGAAATTTATTGTATTTTTTGTGTCCATAATGAGAAAACTTCAAATTTGACTTTTAGGTACTTTAAAAAAATACTTTGTTAAAACAATTTTTTCCGCCCAAAAAACTTTTCCGCGCAAAGTGAAAACTTTTGTTATAACAATTTTTACATTGGTTGTAGGAATAATCTTAAGCCTGCATTTTGTTAAATAAGAATTGGGGATTATTTTTCTTTTCCCAAAGTTAAAATATATTAATAACAGCCAAAGTTATAAGCTTTCAAAGTTGGGGGGCTAATGTGAACAGTGAATGGGGGCTATTGTGAACAGTGACATGGGGCTATTATGAACAACAATATATACAGTACATTTGGTTAAAAATGTGTTTCTCACTTTTATATTTTTCCAGATGTGTTCTAACTTTCACTTTCTACTGGCTAATAGATTTTTTTTTCAGGTGGCTTTTTTTTGGAGTCTGGCTTGACTAACCAAAAACAAAACAATAACATACTAACCTAAAAGTTGTGTGTTGTGATTGTTGTGCATTTACTGAGTAAAGAGAAGATGCTTGTGTTTAGATTAGTGCTAAGTGAACTTAAATAATTCTAATTCAAAATTTATGGACTCTCATACTTAATATTTATTTGTGAAAACAAAAATGGTGCGAAATTACAAAAGTAAAGGAACAAGGAAGAAATACCCCCAGAATAAACTTGACCAGGCACTTCAAATGGTAAATAAAGGTACACCTGTTCTAAAAGTTGCTCAAGAACTAAATATTCAAAGAAATTATTTAATAAGATATATTAAAAAAACTGAAAATATCAGGCTTTATTCAGCCTTACATAGCCCTAACACCGAAACTAGGCCAAATGCAAACCTCTCACTAGATGTTGGCCTAGGCCCATCCAGCCCTAATATCAGTACAAATGCAAACCACTTACTACATGTAGGCCTACCTTCAAATGAAAATGCAGAGGTTATACCTACATCTATGCCTATGCCAAACCTTCCAAAGTTACCAGGCCATCAGTTGGCATTAGGAGTGGAAACGGAGAAAATACTTGCAGAGCATCTTAGAACCATGGCAAAAAATGGGTTTGCTTTAAGCAAAGAAGAATTGCTTGATTTGGTAAAAGATTATGTGGACCAAAATCCTCTTACCGGCTCTGTCCCATTTAAAAACGGTCGACCTGGACATGACTGGTACAAGAACTTTTGTAAACGCCAAAAACTGTAAACGCCAAAAACTGAGTCTCAAGAAAATGGAAGCTCTCGAAAAGGCACGAAAAGTAAATACAAGTGACCCTTTTGTAATATATGAGTTCTACGACCTCTTGGAAAGCCAAATGAAGGCGCTTCAGCTGGAAAATAAACCAGCACACATTTTCAACCTGGATGAAACTTCATTTTGCTCTGACCCTTCAAGGATAAAGCTTGTGTCTGGAATAGGTCAAAAAGCCCACAGAGTTCAAGAGGGCACGGGGCGAGAAAATACCAGTGTTTTGGCATGCTGTAATGCAGCGGGAAAGGTTTTATCCCCTTTAATCATATTTCAGGGGGGCTAACTTATGGTCAACCTGGAAAGGTGATCGAGATTTACCAGGCACCTTTTATGCTTGTAGCGAGAAAGGCTGGATGACATCGGTGATTTTTCACGAATACATCCAAAAGTTTGCCGAAGAAGTTAAAGAACAGCCAATCCTTTTGATATTTGATGGTCACATGACTCACCTAGATGTGGATACTGCAAAGTTTGCCAGAGAAAACGAAATAACCATTTTGAAACTGCCAGCTCATACCACCGATGTCTTACAGCCCCTGGATACGGCTTGTTTCAAAACCCTCAAATACATGTGGGACCAGAAAATCTTGGAGTGGTACAGAGCCAACCAAAGGAAGATGCAAAAAAGTGAATATGTCAATATCCTTTGTAGTATCTGGCATTCAGGTCTGACGTCACCAAATGTGATCTCAGGTTTCAGATGTGTAGGTCGTACCTTTTGACCGGAAAAAGTACCCTGAGGCCCGCCTAGATCCAGAGAAGCTCAAAAGATACAATGAAACGAAAGAAAAGAACTGTGCTCCATCAGAAGACCTAGAGCCTATTGGCCAGGAACCTATTGGCCTAGTCCTAGACCTCTTTTCTAATGAAGAGTTAGAAGATTTAAGCATTAGAGGCCTACTTTCTGAAGCAACAGAGCCCGAAAATAATGAGATTTCTGTAGGACTAGATGTGAACATGCCATGTACATCTGCCACAGCACGACTGCATACTTTACCTAAAGGAGCTCCTCAAGATAGGCCTATCACAAACAGTCCTAGAAATGAACCTGAACGTTCTACTGGTAGTCCTTCAACACCTATTGCTGCTACAGTAAACCCAGGATCCTTTGAGAGCTTACTGCTACAGAAAATAAACGGAACTTGAGCACCAAAGAAACAACATCGAAAAGTTGATACTCGAGCAAAGGTAATCACGAGTGAAGAATGGATTAAAATTACCACCGAGCAGATTAAAAATTATGCAAAAAACAACAAACCAAAAGGAACTGGGCCTAAAAACGTTGACCTAAAGCGGAAGAAAGCAGCACAAGAAAATAGGCCTACTAAACCTAGATGCAAAGGGTTAAAATTTGTTAAAGAATACAAAAGAATTAGGCCTAAATTCCGCATTGAGAGCAGCGACAGTGAGGACAGTCTAGGAGTAGCAGATTTGAACGACATAATTCAACCCTCAGAATTAGATTATCAAGATCTAGACAGCCCAGAAAATCTAAAGGTTGGTGACTTCATTTTAGTAAAATGCAAAGGTGGAAGCCGCCAAAGTACCACCTTCCGCTATGTCGCTACAGTGTTAAAAACACTGGCTGACGGGGAGATCGAAGTGATGGGATTTAAATCCTGTGATGAGGAAAAAAAATCATTCCTGAAAAAAGAAGATGATATATTTATTGTTTCTACCACTGACATTTTGGGGAAACTTCCAGCCCCTAATGTATGTGGAACCAGTGATAGACATAAGTATGTCTTCGACAAAATTGTCGAAGTTTTTGAG